CTTTTAAGAACCTGTTTAAATTTTTCCCAGTTTTCTCCCTTATCACTTCCCCAGTCCCCAATCTCATATTTCTGTCAGTGAGAACCCCTAGAAGGGGGCCTTGCCATGACATGCTTGGACTGATGGCCAGAATTCCTGCACTTCCTCCTGCCCCAGGTTATATTTGCCTTGTAACCCTAACCTCACTTCTCACAGCAGCCTTTGAGACCAGGGCAGTGAAGTACACAATGGAGACCTTAGAGTCTTCCTTCCTTAAGAAATAACAAGTGGAAGAAGATGAACCTCCCTGCCTTAGAATAGGAGACTTTCAGGCTCTGGGGATGTCATCTTAAAGCTATTTGGAAAGAAATAAAGTCAACAACTAAATTGTAAGAGCAGGGCAGAAAGGCTTCTCCGTGTTCCTGATTAGAATACTTATAATTATCCAAACAAAGAGGACAGTCATCATGTGTCCTTGACCTAGTTGACTAAACAGTATATATATTTATAAATTTTTTTCCCTGTGTAAGTACTTGCTTTAAAGAAGTCATGAAGCAGAAAATACTTTTTAAATAAAATTTTAGTAGCCCACTCAATTATTAAAGTCTCTCTATATAGATATATAATTATATAGAACTGTGTGGTCATCCATTAGTGTACCAGGGAATCTGTTCCTGGATTTCAGTGGATGCCAATTTCATGGATTCTCAAGTCCCTTCTATAAATTGGTGCAATATTTGCACAGAACTTACACATATCCTCCTGTATACTTTAAATCATTGCCAGATTACTTACAGTATCTAATACAATACAAATGCTATTCAAGTATGTGTAATATTGTATTATTTGGGGAGTAATGATAAGAAAAGAAGTTTGTACATGTCCAATACAGACAGTCTTTTTCCCTGAAAATATTTTCAATCCATGGTTTGTTGAATTTGAGGATATTAACTTCATGGATACAGAGAACTGACTGTATAGATAATATGTCTATCAATGCATTGAATATGTGTGTTTTAATGCTTCATAGACACAGTCCAGGGTCACTTGTATAATGAGTAGTATGTAATGCTGACGTACTGTATTTGCTACCTAGTAGGCCCAACTGATGTCATCATTAACCTTTTTTATCATTGTAGCTACCTGTAAATATTCATCTGAACCTGCCTTTTCTTCAATTTTAATTTAAAGAGGAAAGAAGGAGGCTATTTGGGGATGCTTCTTCCCTTGTACGCATATGAACTTGGCAATTCTTCTCTCTTTTGCCATCTAAGGCATAATGTAATTTGAGGAAAAGAAATGGAAATTCAATAAAGAAAGTCCCGTGATCCCGCAGTAAGAATGACATATGAAAAGTCCTATGGTCCCACAGTAAGAATGACATATAGAAAGTCCTGTGGTCCAGCAGTAAGAATAATATTGGTTTCATTTCCTCCCCCACCCATCTCTGATCTTTAGAGAACACATGTCTTCGCAACCAGTATCGCTGCAGCAACGGGAACTGTATCAACAGCATCTGGTGGTGTGACTTTGACAATGACTGTGGAGACATGAGCGATGAGAGAAATTGCCGTGAGTCTTCTGGCATGGTGGAGTTGCCGGGATGTTTAAGCATTGCCTTTACTCAGAAGGCTGGTCAGCTCCTGTGGGCAGGGCCCTGGAGTCTAGTTGAGAGGGCTGACCACCTGCTATTTCTTATGCCCAGCATACATTTCTCATGTCAGCATACATGCTGACAGGGCTTAGATAACAAAAAGCACATTTCCATATGTATATGTATGTGAGGTATATAGCATTATCAGACATGCATACTTGTTTACATATACATATATATATATCACATAAGTTGGCTACTCATTACAAAAGACTTTTAAAAAAGCATCCCATGGCTGAATTACACTGATTTGGCAGACTAGGTTTTAATCTTGGCTTTTACACTGTAATAAAGCTGGTAGGTTGGGTAGAGGATCAGGTCTTTGATTTATAAATTCAATATTCTGCCTTTTCAAAGATGGGCAACAGGTATCACCTTGTATGCTGCTCCAATTAGTTGATGCTGGCTCAATGCAGTCTCAGGAGAGCTTGTTGTAATTGATTAGTCATGTACAGTTTGATCTGTAATGTGGGGACATAGATGGTAGGTGTGCTGTGTAAATATCACCTTGTACTGAATAGTTCCTAGGTCTGAGTCATGTTTACGACTCTGTTTTGGAGGATTTAAAGAAAATCACAAAACTATTTATTAAGGATAATAAATTAACCACAAATCTTAACTAGTATTTCTTCACTTAATTTTTAATAGCTTTGACATCACCTGATAAAGTAGCCTCCTTTTTTTCCTCTTTAAATTAAAATTGAAGAAGAGGCAAATTGGAAGGAGTTACAAAGATGAAAAAGGTTAATGATGACACCAGTTGGGTCTGTTAGGTAGTGTCATCTGTTGGTCATATATTCAGTCAACAGGTATCTTTTGAGTACCCTCTGTGCTGGGCTTGGGTTTATATGAGTGATCAAGGTGTAATCTGTTTACAGTTTGAAGAGCATGTCAGAAAAGTTAAGAGCCTTGGACAGTAGGGTGATGAGTGCCACAATGGGAAAGCTCCATATGTGGGAAGGGCATCCAAATCCAACTTGAGTAGATGGTAATGAAGAGCTCTAGAGTGTGGAGGAAAGGATTGTGGGCAAGGGAGCAGACGGGGTATCAGTACTTGTGTGGGTTGTTGAGAACATAGGTGCATTGGGGAGAAGGGAAGTTGAATGGGCAGGCAGAGTCCAGCAGGAACCTTGTGAACTTTATTAGAAGAGCAATTGGAAAACACTGAAGTGATATGAGAAGCTTTTGCCTTTGGAAAGATAGGCAGCAGGCAGAATGAATTAGATGGGAGAAAGACCAGAAGCAGGGAGGCCAGAAACCAAGTCAGAAGGCCTGTTGCAATTGTATTGCCTTTATCAACCCAGAGGCTCATTTACCAGTTTGTACTCTTAAGAACGAGTTAATGGATACCGCTAGATGCCATCTGGCCCCTGGCACATGCATTTAGGCAGTCATCCAGGAGCAGGTGCCAGGTTCCCATGTCACTTCACCCAGAAGCACCTTTAGAAACACTCAGCTCGTTAAGCTCCTCAACGCCCTGCAGCACTATGTCCTGGCCCTTTTGGCTTCTAGGAGGTTGTATATGAAGCTCTAGTTTCGTCATTTTCCCTTGGCTTCAGGGGATGCCCTTCAAACCTCCGGAAAAGAGTGTCTCGAATGGCAGCTTCAGAAAGGCATAAGCCTCAATCTCTCTGACTTTTGCAAAAGACCACTGATAAAGCCTACTTTGCCTACCAGGCAGGTGTGATATTTTGGGGGGAATAGCTCTTTAAAAAAATGAATACAGATCATTAACGGTATTGAAGCAGATGAAGGAACAGAGTTTATTACCTTCAGGGTGGGGGAAGAATTGTCCAGACATGACTAGGTAGAACAGAAGCAAGGAGATAGAAACCAGATGACCAAATGTCCCAGCTAGGGACACAAGACAGTATGCCATTCCTACTGTGTCCCTGGGCTGGGTGTCTACTAGATGAACAAGCTGGATCTCAGATTGGTTCATGTTTGGAGAGAAATAATGACCTCCATCTTCACGGAGAAGCTTGCCGTGCTCAGTGACCCTCCTCTCTGACCCAGTTCTGTTGCTGGCCTTATAGCTTCTTGCCACACAGTTTAAGTTTCTGCTCTGGGTGAAGTGCAGAGCTGGCTCTGCCTTCCTCCAGATTTGGCATGAACATCAGCTGGGATTGACATTCCTGAGGCCTGAGACTTGCTTTCTATTCTATTCTCTCCCGCTTCCACTTGGTGCAGGTCCTTACCCATTGGATGAGACAGAGAAGAGAAGAAAAATACAGGGATTTAACACCACTCTCTTAGCAACCAGGTGGAGGGGCAGAGCTGTGCTCTTATCAAGGAGAGACATGCTTACTGAGATAGCAGGAGGTGCCCTGTGCACAGGCCAGGCTGCAGGAGAGGTCCAGGCGTGATGGGGAACTACAGCATGGGGAGTTAAGTGAGGCATCCCGCCAGCTGCCAGGAAGAGCAGAGGAGGGGTGGTGAGGCGATGCGGGAGGGATGTTGTCAGTCGATTTCCCTCCCTCTTTAAACAGACTCCTCCAGCTGGGTGGATGTCAGGCACGAGGGTTTTGATATGAATCCCCTGCAGTCTTGTCATTTTGCATTCATCCCCTGCCTCCCACCATGAGCTCAATTACTGAGAAGAAATGGAACCTCCAATAAAAGCTGCCGGGATGTCTAGCAGCACTGTTGCCTCTTGGCGTTTCATTTCACAGAACACCCCACCCTCCATCCCAAGATGCCATTCTGCCACATGGGTCCCTCAGATGCTCAGGAGGGGTTTCTGGTGGGTTTTTCCTTGCATCCTAGGGTTTATGTATAAGCCAAGGAAATTTCTTTTTAGGAGAAAATCTAATTCCATGCTCATTCTGGTGCCAGAAGGGTGTGAAATATAATGAGGAAAAGATGTGACATGTGTTTAGAGTCCATTATCTTTACATTCTATTTAACAGGCTTTGGTTCCAAGCTTGTTTTCTTGTTTATATTCATAATAATGCTGCCAGGTAGTTACTATCTCCACTTTACAGAGGAATGAATGGAGGCACAGGGGTTGGATTAAGGAAGTTATAAATGGAAGAATTCAGATCCACATCTCATCTTTCTCACTTGATTCTGCATTACTTCATTTACTGTTGAGGAAACTGAAGTTCAGGGAGGTTAAAATTAATTGCCCAAGGAAGCTGTCGAGCCAGGATTTGAAGCAGAATCTTGACTGACTACAGACCAGCCTGTGTCTCTACTACAGATGTTCATGATCATCTGTGTGATGAAGTGCCTGCTTCACGCATGGAATTGGGCCTCTCTAATGGTAGTTTTGTAGATAAAGGTATTTCACAGCTGCAGACTTTATGTCTGGAGGGACCTTAGGTGGTAATCCCTGCCTCTGGCCCCAGCTAGATAGTAGTTTCTCACTTTGTCAGGACCTGTTCCTCTCTGAAGCTGTTCCTTGAAAGGATGTGCCCTTACCTCTCTTGGTTATAAATTTCAGTTCTTATGTATTTGATTTCTTCTATTAAGTCTAGGTGTAGTTTCTGTTGCTATAGTTAAAGTCTGCTTCCTTTTATT